TTTATTTATTAAAGGTGACATCTGGCCTGATGCTGAAGCTTTTAAAGGATGAAATGTTTGTTTCAGTCTGCAGCTGATCAGACATTCTTTTGAAGCTGCACGCCACAGATCATCATCATCCTCACTTTCAGCCCAGTAACGCTCGTCTCCACCAATCACAATCACGCCGCTAACGTCCAGCAGACCAAAACTTTGGCTGTTTTGGAAGTGTATTTCTTTAAAATATTTTAAAAACAAGATCCGATTGGCTCCTTTGCTGTCACTATTTTGCATTTCATGCTTTACTGAAGGATTTATTAATGTTTTGACTGAGGATGTTTTTACCTGCAGTGCAGCTGATGTCAGCTCTGCGTCTTTGTTCCAGAGCTCCACACAGAGGGATCCTCCTGCAGGGCTAACGTCTGATGAACAAACTTCAGCATTCCTGTCAGCGAGCCCATATCCTCCTCCTCCTGTCCCACCAAAGTGCTCTCAGACTCCCTCCTGGACTCGCTCTGCTGCACGTCATCTCGGTCCACCATGTAGGTGAGCGGGTTGAAGGAGCTGTCAGAGGACGCCGAGGCCTCGGCAGCGCTGAGCCCCTGCCAGCTGAGGTCGGCGATCTCTGGGAAGGAAGCAGACGGTGAGGAAGACTCCCACGGCGGCTTGATCAGGGTGGCCTTCAGGCTGGGAGGAAGGTCCACAGAGGAGCCGGTGCTGCTGGTCTGAAGCAGGTCACTGGCTGGGAGGTATGAGGGAGCGTTAGTCAGGGACGGCGCCGGAGGGTCCGTCAACGTCTGCAGGGCAGGAAGGGAGGCGGCGTGACCTAACAGAATCTGCCGCTCCGCAGATCTTCCCATACTGGAGATCCGGGCCTGGAGGCGGGTCACCTCAGACTCCTGCAGGAGGTAAGGAGACAGATGAAAGGGAAGGACTTTAAAAAGAAGAGCGGTGAAGCTGGGATCCTGGAGCAAAGCGTACCTTTAGGAGCAGCGAATCGGTCGACCTCTCCAGAGACTCTTGGGAGGTACGGAGCCGAGTTTGGAGCTGAGAAACCTGCTTCCTGCTCTGCTGCAGCTGCGCAGACAGCAGCTCCAGCTGTGCAGTCAGACGGCCGTTCTCCACCCTGGTTTGTTCCCCCAGCGTCCTGCTCTCCTCCAGCTCGGCTTCTCTCTGCAACAGCCGCGCCTGAAGGTGGCTGGCTCGGCCGTGGCTGTGATCCAGCTCGGTCTGGGCCCGGTCCAGCTGGCTTTCCACCCGGCCGCAGCGCTCCTTTGCATCCTCCAGCTGCTTCTGGCTCTGCTGGAGCTTCAGGGTGAGCTGCTCCTGGGAGGAGCGCATGCTGGTGGAGATCTGCTCCGAGACTTTGAGCAGCTGGCCTCGAGTGTGCTGCAGAGACTCCAGCTGCCAGAGAACGGAGAGCGAAAGAGTTCAGAACACAGAGCTTCACAACAAGATTCAACCAGGCCTCAACTGCTGCAATGCATTTAAAAAGGTAGAACAGGAAGGCAGCGTTCATCACCTGCAGAAGGCAGGAGGATGAAACAACCTCACATCTGCTAAGATACGGCCAAAAAACAAGCCTGTTATGAAGCAGGGTGGAGGTAGCATCATGCTGAGGGAACAGTTGCATGGTCAGAGCTGAAGGGAGGATTGATGGAGGTTAACAGAATGGCCTAGTCAAAGCCCAGACCTAACGATCCAGATGAAAAACACAGAGGAACAGTGGAAGAGGGAAAACGTGGAAGAGTTAGAGGCGGATCGGCCTGATGACTTTTCTCATTACAGTCAGAAGTACAGAGCAACGAATTTCACTCTCTGCATTTAACCTGCGGGAGCAGTGGGCTGCCATTGCGCGCCGCCCACGGAGCCGTGTGGGGAGTTAAGGGTCTTGCTCAGGGACCCAGAGCTACAGCTTTAT